AGGCTCCAGAACTGTTGAGAGAACACATTTCTGTTGATTTAAGCCCCTCAATTTGTGGCAACTTTTTTTATGCAGCCTCGGGGAAGTAGTACAAGTGGCAGCATCTGAAATTTGTTGTGAGAATCTCCACCCACAGGTAGCACGTCCAGCAGAGTAAGTGCTCAGTAAAGCTCAGCTGTCGTTGCTGTTGGGACGGTCGCCTTCAGCAGTGAGCTCTGTTGTTTTTCATGCCTGACACGCATTCCTCTAACTTCTTAACACGACCTTGGTTTTCCTCGGGGGAACTTCTGATGTTTAACCTTGAGTAGATGATGCATGGGGACAAAATGATTGGTACCAGTTCATCGAGGTGTCCTGAAGTGACTGTTGATTTTCTCCTGACATCAGACCTTGAGATGCTCCGATCTTGGCCTGTAGTTCCGTTTAGAATAGAGGTAACCTCTGGAGAGCACTTAAACCATTACCCGGACATGCTAAGCGCTAAGCAAAATAAGTGCTATTAATGTTACTTCCGATGGTGGTCCAATTTTGAGTCTTATTGTTAAATTTCTTGTTGGATATTTCCACTTGATTGTTCTGAGATGATTTCACTCTCAGTATCTGTAAAATAAAACTGTATCTTTCTCAAAAGCTCTATTTTTAGATTCCCCTTTCTCTGATAAGTACATTATTTTCTTATTCAACCTTCATTTTAGTCATCTTTAACTTATTTCTTTTGTTTGTTTGCATATTTATTTAAGTATACGACTTCCTTCATTATTAAGCCCTCCTTAGATATTTCCCCAGCTTTCTCAGCGTTAACGCCTCCTGGTGCCCATATGGTAATCTGCAAATCTGTTCTTTAAATTGAAGTATAGTTGATTTACAATATTATATTGGTTTCAGGTGGTCTTTAATTGATTTCTATCTACCATGGCTAATAACCATATAAAAAATGACTAATGCTATGTAATATTATTCAAAATTCCTCAATATGCTTTTCTTGTTTCCCCCAATACTCAGCCTAGTTCTGATATGCCATTTTTCATACTGAGATTATTAAGATAAATATTAGCTGAATGTAAGATTTTTTCCTCCACCTGTATTAAGAATCAATTTCTAAAGATGTTTTTCTTGAATACTGCTTTTATTCACAATATTTCCCCACTAAAAACTAAAATTCCACTTATCCAACAACAGGAAATGATGAAACTCCACAGAAGCACATGTAAAATAATTGTCAAAATTGTGGTACAAACTAGAAATAGTGTAGACTTTATGCAATTCTAATATCTTTAAATTCCTGCTCCAGTGTTTTATTTGAGCTTTAATAGTTGCTGCCAAATCCAAAGTTACCACTATTAAATGCTAAGTATTAGAAAACATTTCAAATTCAGTTTTTGTTTTGTAATATGCAGTCTTTTTGAAGGATTAGCTTATCAAAAGTTACTATGTTATCACCTATGGTGGTCACTGAACAGTGTTGCTTTTGGGGCCACATTGACATCTTCGCCATTCACCACAATGTGATGAATGGGATGAGACAGAAAACCCAGGAAATCCTACCCCAGAATGAGCTTCTTAGAAGAGAAATTCTCTCTCAGAAACAACGAAGATCACTTCTAACCGGGAAAAACTCAGCTCGCACTTTAACGTCTATGCTGCTGCCTTCCCTCCTTTTTCTTTCTTTCTTCTTCCCTTCTTCCATGAGGACGATACCGGAGACTCCACGTTGCGGAGTCCCCGTCTCCGTTCACATCTCCCTTATCTCCTGGGGCAGCCAGGTCCCGGGGATGCTGGGCGTGCCGTGGGCGGTGGGCGTCCCTGCCGGGCGGAGGGTCTCTAAGGCCTGACCAAGCCATTCTCAGCAGCTCCGGTTCTGGACCGCAGCGGCGGTGTGACTAGCCCGTTCCTCGTTCAGACTCCAGAAGCCCCACGATTGATTAAATCCATGAACTCAGGGCTATTATCAGCTGCCACGTAGGAACATGGAGGGACATTTGGCAGCAAAAGAGCAAGTCTGAGAATACAGAGAATTGTCCACCGCCTGCGCTCCTTGGTGTGTTGGGGACCTGGGAGGGTGTCTTCAGGAGGAAAGGGGGGGTCTTGAGAAAGCGGCGCGGGCGGCAACAGCCCAGGGGTGGGATCGGTGCAGACACCGAGCGGCTAATTAATTGCAAGTAACTCTGCAGGTAAGAAAGGAAGGGCTCTGCCTTGGACAGGGTGAGAGAGCGAGGTCACTGTCACCGTGTTGCTGTGCTATCAAGAGTGGTTTGGGTGTAGAGAGCCGGGCGTCACAAGTCCCTTGTCAAAGTGACACGGTGTGTAACCTTCACGGCGCAGAAGTACGCGCTTCCCCAGAGCTCACTGTCCTGAAGCGGACTCGGAAGCAGCCGTGCCCTCTTCGGGCTCCGGGATGAAAGGGTCCGAGCGCAAACGCTGGAGCGAGCCCCGTCCACCCACCCGCACGCCGGAGCTCCCGGGCGGTGGTGCAGACAGCGCGCGGGGAGGAGGAAAGCAAAGAGCATGCATTCCGCTTGTGGCGGGGGAGCAGAGAGACACAGACACAACAGCGGAGGGTAAATAGGCGGTTCCCCGGGAGCGGCATCGGGGGAAGGCGGCTCGTGGAGGCGGGCGCAGCGGCCTTCAGGGCAGCGCGCTCTGGCTGGGATCCAGCGCGCACGCGCAGAGGAGGCCGCGCAGCGGGCGTGGGACTGAGCGGAGAAAGCGAAGCGAACGGGGTAACAGATCTGCGGACGCGACCCAGGCCCGGGCGGAGAGGGAGGCACGGAGGGAGGGAGGGAAGGAAGGACGAAGACAAGGGCAAGGTTAGGGTCACATGTGGCAAACGCAGCCGCCCTCGTGACCCGTTGAACGCTGACGTTAGATGACGTCACCCCTACTCAGATCCCGCCAAGGTCACCGCGTCATTGGGAACAGCCAGATTTCCCGCCAGGGACGGGGCCCTGCGTGACCCGGCCCCTTCCGGGGCGCTGCTTCCGCTAACCTCCCCCTGCTCGCGGGGCCTCGACTCTTCTGCCGGCTGCTCCCCAGGTGCCCGGTCTCCGGGCTGGCCCCTTGCCTAACGCCCTTGGCGCGCCCTGAGCTGCGCGTGCGCAGCTCTCGTTGTGACTCTTGCTCACAGCTGCTCGGTGGCTCCTGCTCCCTTGCAGGTAAAGAACAGACTTCTTAGTACGGCCTCAAAGGGCCTTCGCACGCGGCCCTGCCAGCCTCGCCGACAGCAAGGCGAGCCTTCTTCTCCCCAAGTGCAGCCCTTCCGCTGTCTCCATCCTCCGCGCTTCGTGCACGCGCCCCTCTCCGGGTGTAGCACCCCCCGCCCTCCCATGTTCGTCAGGCTGCCTCGTAATCAGCGCCACGTTTGGGGTTTCTCTGTCCTTCTGGCAGGCCGGTAAGAGATTCTAAGTAATGTCTTTAAAAATGTAATTTAATTTAATTTTTAAAAATTGAAGTGTAGTTGATTTACCATGCTGTTAGTTTCAGGTATACTGTGATTCAGTCACCCGCATATAGACATATTCTTTTTCAGACTTTTTTCCCATTGTGGTTGTCACAAGATATTGACTATCGTTCCCGTGCTAAGTAGTGTTTTAAGTTCTAATTCTGTGAAATTCCTGTTGCCGTGCTCATGAGAAGCTCTTCTCGTGTTACGATGATAACTGTTGTTTCCTGTGAACATTAAATTTGGTCATTAGCCCTTAACCAACCCAGTGTGCCAAGCACTGATACCTCTTCTGCGTGGTGGTGGATGGTTTTGGACGGGCGTTCATGAATGGTGGGCCATCCGAGTTTCAATCAGCAAAATCACGGCTCTTTCAAACTTTGCTGACTCCGATGCAGTCACCGTGGGAAACTTCTTGCTTCTTGTGTAGACTGCTTTGTACAGAACATTCGGTGCTGGTGGTTTTATTTGAGATGTTTGGGCATATTTACATTTTTGCTTAGGAAAGCATCTTTCCGAACTGTGACTACAAACTGTGAGTTCACTAGGAAACGGGTCTTAAGAATATTGGCAAGGTTCTCATGTTCACTGTAAGCTCTGTTTAAATGTCTTTGGGGTTGGTCTGTGGAACACATATGTTCTTATTAATTGATTACACATTAATAAAAATGGTGACAAATTAACACTCGCGGGTGCTTTTGCAAGGGGAGAGCTAGCATGCTACAACAGTTTCCGTCAAACTTCGGCACTGTTGGAGTCTACTTAACCGAAGAGAAATAGTTTACTTTAAAAATAAGATCATTTCATAAGGGTCTATTTAAACTCTGCAGAAGTAAATTACAGTAATTTTTCTGCCATTCCTACCTCACCACCCCCTCCCCTCTCATTCTATCTTTTAATCAGATTATTTGACTCAGTTCTCTTTCAACTGTACTCGTAATAATTGCCATTATTATTATAAACTCTTACATATAACCATTATGTGTGATATGGGTAACATTCTGAGTATTTTCTGGGTTTCTAGTAATTTAAAACTTACAATAACTCTCTGTGATAACACCGTTGCTATTCTGTTTTACGGATGAGGAAGCTAAAACACAGAGAGGTTAGTAACACGCTCAAAGTCACCGAGTTAGTCACTGATGGTTTTGGGGTATGAATCCAGATGATTTATTTGCAGGGATGGTGATCTTTTATACTGTGCGATACTCTGTGTTTAAGAATGGTCCTGGTTCATGTGCGTGCTGTTCACATAGCAGGGGTGTCACTGATTTGAGGACACAGGGAACCCCACACACTCAAGGTGTAGTGCGTGTTGGACTGGAAGTGAGAACTTGGTCACTGGAGGTGGGAGTGAGGACCCGGAACTTGTCGACTGCAGAATAACCGTGGCTGCTGTATTTCAGATCTCCAGTGTGTGACTTAATAGAGTTCAGGAGTCTTGGTTGAATAAATGAATGAGTTGATTACTGTCACACGGGGTGTAAGATGTCCCAGTCATGTCATTGGTAAGTAGCTCCTTCAGGCCACTCTTTGAGGTGAGTGAAGGAACTCGCTGCATCTAAGTCCCCACGATGTCAGTGTCCACCAGCCCTGAGAGAGTGGACAGAGGAGAATGGGAAATGGGACCACCAGGCAGAGACCGCAGCAGCTCCGTTCCCTCCCGCTGGTGAAACAGAATCATAACATCTTCAGTGACCTTTGTGCTTAGATTCCCATCTTTAATTTTAATGCTTTTCTCCCAAGAATCTTGTTTTCTCTATGTCGAGGGCTACCGTAGCCACCTGGAGGAGAATTATCCCGGTGCAAGTGTTGAGCTGAAGGAAGCAGGGCAGGAGCTCTGCTCTCAGGTCTTGGCTGCTGAGTCCGGAGGGGGAACCAGATTATCTGCCCACCTGGGCCTGCTGCTGCAACCCGCCAGCGCTGAGAGAGGCCCACAGTGGCCTCCAGCACATCCTGACAGTGGGGCGATGTGTCTCGTGTGGACCCCCAACACTGCCTGGCCGCCCTGTCACCCTCCCTAGCATAGCCATCTCCTCGCTTCCCAAAATGACCGTTTTACCCCTTGTCTTGATTCGTCTCCCAGAATTTCTCAATCAGCCAATCATTTCCCTCCTGTTCTTCTAAAACCGTGGCAGTGAATCACACAGGAGCTTTCTCGTCTTCCTACCGCTGAGTCTGCCAGCGCACGTGTAAGTCAGTGCCACCGCCGTCTTCTCGTTTCAGACAAGAGTCCCTGGTTCTATCCAAGACCAACTCTCCTGCGTGTGATCAGAAGCCAGTGCTTCCTGACCCCCCAGGGACGTTGCTTCTGCAATCGTTTTCTTCTCTGCTGCATGGAAATATTTTCCTCTTTAGTGGAATTTCAGTCGACGTATGAATATGCTCTAACATGTCCTGTCCCAAACAAAAGATACACGTTCAGTACATGTCTGTCTCAAGCTGCAGCTCCGTGTCTCTGATGATGTTTACAGCTTAGGGTTCTCGGGAGCTGGTGTCTCTCCCTTTCTCATCACACTCATTCGCTCCGTGAACTCCTCCTCCCCCTGCCTGGATCTAGTGTCACCATCTCTGACTTCTTTCACTGGAACTCCCAGCAGCGTTCCAGACAGACCACCCTGCTCTCCTTTTTGAAGGACACCTAGTAGGTGTACCAGTTAGCGATTGCTTCCGAACACATCACACTCAAACTCAGCGGCTGGAAATGTCAAGTTACTGCTTCTCCTGAGTCTGTGGGTCTCCTGGGTGGTTTATGCGGTCTCCTTTTGCCTCACTCAAGTGTGGCGGTCAAGTGCGGGTGGCGCAGCTCTGCAGATCTAGGCTGGATTCTTCCAGGCTGTGGGCTGGCTGGTTCTGGGATGGCCTCGGCTGCAGTATTTCAAAACTGGCAGCTTTGCAGAATGTGGCCAACTCTATTCTAGCTCAGTCCCTCCAGAAGGTAATAGGTTTCATTTATTGGTGGCAATTCCTGACTTTGTGTGTGCTTGTGTGCTAATCTAGGGAAAGCATAATCTGAAACCTTTTTACTCCTCCGCATTTCTGTAAGCTGCATGGCTTCATTTTAAGGTGCCAGGGAGATGAGTGAAACCATGGTGGAGTCATTTCTCATCTTACAAAGGATCAAAACAAAAAATGAGCAGGGTTCAGAACATCCTTAGGGTACTCCATTTCTGTGTGAAGACCTGTGTGAGCAGAAAAAGCATTTTAGGATAAGTACATGTACAAAAAGTCAAGTTTTTTTGTGGCTAAGAAAGCTATCATAGATAAATGAGTTATCTCTGAAATACGGAAAACCTCTTTTTTTTTTAAATATGTAAATAAAGTGAACCGTAGCGGCTCTGCCATCTGTGTGAGGCTGAGAGTTCCTGGAAAATGACTCATTCAGTTCAGCAAAGACGTGAAACCAGATTTGAATGTAAAAAATACATGAGTTCCAGAGAACCTAGGATGCAAGGATTAGCACAGACACTTCCCAGTGCAGTGTTTGGAATAGAGGTGGGGTCATGGAAAAACGAGCAGACACCGTGGACGTGGACGGGAAGGCTCTTCAGTAGTGAGCACTGCTCTTTGAAATTGCTTTGATTTAGTTGCTGGAATTAACTGTCCAAGGCCTGTAGGGGTCATTTAGTTCAATGCCATTTTGTCTGTTAAGCCACTGAAAATAGATGAACAACAAGTTTCTACTGTAGAGCACAGGGAGCTATATTCAATATCTTGTAGTCACCGATAATGAAAAAGAATATGAAAAGGAATATATGTATGTGTGTGTATGACCGAAACATGATCCTGGACACCAGAAATGGACACAATGTTGTAAACTGACTATACTTTAATTAAAAAAAGAAAAGAAAAAGGGTCCGAGGCCGAGAGAGACTGAGTTGCCAACAGGACAGCGAGACTCTGGGGGCAGAGCCAGGACCAGACACACCCAAGCTCCCTCCGAGTCTCCTGAGAAGAAGCCTGTGCTGATTTTAGTGTGTTTGTCTAGTGCTCGACACCTGGAAAGTGCACCCATCTCCTGCACAGGCTCAAGGGTTTACTGACTTGGGTTTTCTGGACACTGTCTGAGCCTTTTTCTATTCATAAAATGGACATCTTGATGGTTTTCATGAGACACACTATTTAAGATACTATTCAGGAGATAAAAGGCAATCACAAGGCTGCGTTTTTCAAATGTATCTTTTCACGTGGCAACTTCTCAGACGTGTGGCTTTACACACCTCATTCTGTAGGGGAGTAACGGGAGCCTGACATCTGTGTCCAGGTGGAAATCCTCGACAGCCACCCTCGTCTTAGGGAGGCAGCTCTACTGATGTCTCCCTGTCCCCGCTGCCCCCTGAAAGATGAAGAACAGTGTCCCAGGCAAGGCTGATACCTTTCTGGTCATTAATTGGGAAATCAGTTGTCTTCCTGGCAAATGGAGACATCTACCACCTAAAACCAATAAACTAGTTTTCCTTGCTCCCAAAGTTGGGAAAATAGAGAAAAAAAATGAAGTTCAATTTCTCTTCCATTTACCAAATATGAATGTGAAACTGAATCTCTCTGAGATCTAAAGCTGTGCTGAAGTTTTACCTTTGTCTGCTAAGGGAACAAGGATGCTAGTAGCCTGAACTGGTGAGCAGTTGGAGTTATTTCAGTTTATATTTGGAATTGAGTGTGTGAATAGTTGAGTAACAATTAGAATTTACTAACTAAATTTTGTTTGGACTGGAATAAAAATTTGTCTGCATACATTATTGGAAAATCAGAGCACCTTGGATTCTTAATGATAAAGGTATAGAAACTTTTCAGGGAGGCAGCATGGTCATGAATGAAGAGTGGGGACGCTGGAGTCATAGTGCCAGGTCGAAGCCCAGTACTGCCACTCTCAGGCAATTCCAGGCAAGTTCCTTAATCTCTGTTTTCCATTTTGTAAGATGGGGCTGCCAATACTAACCCCACAATAGGATCAGGGTAGTTTATACATTGCATTTAAACGACCTGGTGCTCCACAAGAAATTAGCTCTTACCGTGTGGGCAACTGAGCTAATGGCACGCTGTGTTAGTCAGGCGGGGGTGGGGGGGGCTCCGATAACAAGGAACCACAGACTGGAGGCTTATAAACATCAGAAATTTATGTTTCACAGTCTGGGGGCTGGAAGTCTGAGATGAGGGGTGCCAGGGTGGTCAGGCTCTGGTGAGGACCCCCTTCCAGTCTACAGACAGAGGACACCTTGTATCCTCTCACGGCGCAAAGAGGGTGAGAGAGCTCCCCGGCCTCTTAATTAGGGCACTAATCCCATTCACAAGGGCACCACCCTCATGGCGTCATCACCTCCTGAAGGCCCTGCCTCCAAATACTACGATGTTGGGGATTAGCTTTCATTAGCTTTTTTTGGGGGTGGGGTGGGGCACATATTCTGTTCATAACACATACCTAAGCTACTATATCTCCCGGGAAGATTTTTGTTGTTGTTTTTGTTTTGTTTTTACTTTTGTCTTTTTTAGCCTAAACGTATATCTTAGCAACTCATTTAATTGTCATTTAATTTTTTAAAAAATTTATACTCGAAAAAGAAGAGTATTTGGTTAGTTGATGTTAGGCAGAGAGAATGCTTATGTAACCCATTTCTTTCTATCTATCTGTCTGTCTGTCTATCTATCTATCTATCTATCAGTCTATCATCTGTCTGTCTATATATCTCATCTGTCTGTCTGTCTATCCATCCTATCATTTCTCTATGAAGTTCTTAGTGTTTTCTTTGAACTAGTGGTAACATCTTACTGGTTTCCTCACTGATTAATGAGTTAAATAAAACCCTGAGCACATGTTTATTGTGTATCTATTGGAGAAATGATGATATCACACTTAAAGATAATCTTTTAGCAACTGAAATGAAGAATATATTTTCTAAATTGATAGAAAGGAGAAGAAATTTAAAAAAGCAACACCCACTCACTAGAAAATGGTTGGGTCCATGTTTTTTCATTCAGGTGTCCCAAAATATGTTACCCTGCCTTCTTGACTTGCTCCAAGTTAAGCGACAAGGTCGTACCTGTGACCAGGAAAGCTTTAACAACTTTTTGTTGGTTGGCTTTTAAATACAGTCCTCATGTATGGACCACATCACATTAAAACCCATAGGTGCCTAGCAAATTTAAGACATCTATGTCACATCTCTTACTATAAACAGGAGCCATAGCAATGAGGTGGCATGTAGACACTGTTTATTGAACAACGGAGTGCTTGTGTAGTTGGTGACTCTGTAGTTCGAGTGGATTTCCGGTTTCACATCACAGACGATGCTCAAAAGCCGGTTGATGACACTTTCCATGGACGTGCTGTGGCTCCCATCCAGCTCTTTTATCTTCCTCAGTGTCTGTGCTTCTATCTCTCTGGAGAGATTGCTCTGGGAGCCCATTGTCTACCAGAACAGAACAGACGGAGTTCACCACATGACGCTTCGGATTAGAGTCTCATTGTTTTGCAAGTTAAACTTGTCTTCACCTGTTTATGGGTGATTGTTCTCTGGTGTATGTGTTATTTTTCCAGAATTCTCTCAGAGAACGGACAAGATCAGCAATGCTATGAGGAGGATGGATAAACTTTTCTAAAAAATATAATTGGAAAAAAAAACAAGACAAAACAAACAAAAATAAACCACTATACTATACACCTGAAACTAATGAAATATTATTAATCAACTATACTTCAATTAAACAGAGCAAATGGAAGCTGGCCACGGCATGTGAGCTCTGCTTCAAGGTGACCTTTGCACAGTAGAAATCAAATAAAAAGTTCACAGCCATTACACCACACGCAGAAGTTTCTTCATGGTTTTGTAATTGAGTCCCCGTATCTGCCCTACTGCTTTCTGAATTAAAAGTCTGGACAATAAAGTTGAAAGACTTCAATCCATTTTTGCTGGTTTTTAAAGAGCAAATATCTGGCTTGTCAATTTTTAAAATACTTTATCTGAACTGATTAAATCTTGTTTCTCAGAAAGATACAGCCGCAGTATGCCCAGTGAGATGCTTCTACATGCACAGATAAATATCTTTTTAGGCAATGGATATAATCTTGAAAATTTTGGTATAAACTGGATTTCTTTCAAACTGAGATATACAGACATTTGGTCCCCAATTTTGATGCTGTGACTCAGAATTTTTTGATGGTGAGAAAGTGATAGTGTATTCTGCAGGGACCGTAACTTGCCTCTGGAGCTTCTCCCCAGGCCAGTGATGTCCAGTGGGACGCTCTCCGGCGATGCTCGACAGTGGTGAGCCCCAGCTCCCAGCCAGCCCAGGAGCCATGAACGTCAACAACTCACTCACACAACCATTCTGCACCAGACAACCATTCTCTGTTTCACTTTCTGTACTGCATTCAATCAATTCCATGAGTTATTCAAGACTTCATTATAAGATACGCCGTGTGGGATGATTTTGCCTAATTGCAGGCTGATGACAGTGTTCTGATCACGTTTAGGGTAGGCTGGGCTGGGCTGTGTTATCGATGGATTAGATGTCATCAATGCATTTTCGACTTTGCTATTTTTAGTTTACAGTGGGTTTGTCAGGACGTAACCCCATCGTGGTCAAGGAAGAGCTGTACTTGTCGACTTGGTTCCATGATGATTCTAGACTCAGCGTAACTCATCTTTCTGGTTGTTCTGTCATTGGCAGTGATTCTGGTCTTTCCTACTTCATCCTCTGTCTCTTAGCCTCCCTGTCAAGGAATGACAAGATTGAAATGCAATTTTACCAGGAGAGTTACCAATTTAAAAGGATTCTTCAGTGAAACCCTCTGTGAAATTATCCACTGCTGAAGCCAACAGCCAGCTCCTAATTTATCTCCTTCGTAAACTCAGCCTTTCTTGAACAGGGCATCATTAGGTGACACAGCTGGTTTTTGTTTGTTTGTTTTTCTCTCCTGTGAGTGTTTAGGGAAGGTATGCATTTAATTTAATCCAAGAGGACTCCACTAATGACTGATTTTTACTGCCAGGTTGTTAGACTGTTCTAAATCCTAGAATCCACAGGATCTTTCTGGGCCCTGAATTTGAAATAGAAAGCAGTTGAGGCTGTCCGGTTCCGGTTCTTTCCTGTTTACAGTCTGGGCAAGAGGGGCTTCCTAGTTCAAAGAAAATCATTTTGAGGAGATACAGCTTCTAAGACATCAAATAGCTTTCATAAAATTACATTTTGGTAAGTATGCATGCAGGAACAACAGACATTTGGATAAAATTTCCCTTGCTACAAGGAAGTTTGAAAATAGAGAACTACTTACCAAAATAGTTCTACCAAAATCAGATTTTTCCTCTAAATCCAATATCTTAAGTGAGATTCTACCAAACTCAAAAATAAAATTACTTTTCCTAAATACAATGTCTTAAGTGGTGAAAAATTTAAAAGACAAACTGTTACGAAACGATTATCTATTTTTCTTAGGAGCAGTGTTAAAAATGGTTATTTTTAGGCTAGATTACTGCAGCTATCCTGAAGGACTTTGGAAAAGTTCATCTCAACCTTATGTTCTTTATTTTTTAAATACGGATAACATCAGAACATCACCCATTTGATGGGACTGCTGTAAAAAGTCAACCAGAGTCATGTGTGCAAAGTATGCAGAGTGGTGCTGCCCAATAGAATTGTAATATGAGCCACCAATGACCCATATAAGTGACGTAAATTTTTCTATAGTATTAAAAAAGAAAAGAAAAAGATGGAGGATATAGCTTAATGGTAGAGCATGTTCTTAGCATGCACAAGGTCCTGGGTTCCAACCCCAGTACCTCTGTTAAAAAAAAAAAACTAAGTAAATAACCTAATTATCCCCTCCACAAAAAACCCTAACTAACTAACTAAATAATTAAAAAAAAAAGATAAGTGCCTCGAACACTGCTTGGCACATAGTAGGTGCTCAGTGCATCCCTGTTGAACAGAATAGAATGAGCTGCTCACCAGGCATCAGGGAGAACTGATTACCTGTGTTCTACTGCTCTCGTCGGCCGAAGCCTGCTGCCTGAGTATTTGGGACACTATATAAATTAGAAGTCGATAATTATGTGACATGGAACTTGGTATGTTTGGCCGAAGGGTGCCGTTTGAGGACTTCTCCAGGCAAATTTCCCACCCTTCAGTGCTGCGGCCGCTGTGTGCAGCTTTGCAGAGTAATGACTGATGGTGTTGGCGAAATCTTTCAGCGTTCAATAAGTTTCCTTGTAAGTTGTTCAAATGTTCCAATTTAAGGGAAACCAGAGGGTCAGGTCTCACACAGTCTTGCATTCTCAACTTGTGGTTGCTTCAAGGAAACAAAAATGCTTTCATGATAGGAATTTAGAAAGAAAGGAAAAAGACATTTTTTAGATCTTTTGTTCAGATTCGTGGTCCGTCTAACTTTTACTTGCATTAACAGTAGATACAACTTCCCACTGCAGTCCAGATCTCTTTTCGGCCAAGTACTGTTTTCTCCAGTAGAGGATGTTATTTTGCAGGACTTTCCGAGGTCCTGCAGGATGGCCGCAGGAGCTCCATCACCGCGGTTTTGTCTTTCTGAGAGAATCACAGAAACGGAGCCCTGCAGTGTGAACGGCCGCCTTCTTCCCTCAGCAGAGCTTCTTCTTAGAATCACCCCAGCTGTCACGTGTATCATTCGTTTGATCCTTCTTATTGCTGAGTGGTGCTGCAGTTTAGCAAGAGACAAAGTGAAATAAGGGATAAGTGTACAGCAGGAGATAGCAAAGTAAATCTTTGTTATAAAAATATTCCTTGATATACAGCCCACCTTGGGATACTCACTTCTACTGATAAAGGAGGGGGGTGGAAAATGAGTCAGGGGGTGTGGAAAAAACATACATTAGCAAGAGCTAAGAAGCACCCAAAAGAGTAGCATTGCGGGGCAGCAGCCACAGCAGGTGGGAAACTGGTTTCCCGGGGCTCCTCCGGGAGCTCCTCCGAGCCCCGGGTGAGCGCCCACGAGCTCCGCGCGGGACAGCGGCGTGTGGCCCCCGCGGGCCGTGGTGGGAAGGTGCTGGGCTCACGCTTCACAATATGCTTGAAGCCACAGAGGCCCGAATGCGTTGACCTTCCTATGTGAGATTTTGATCAACTAGCTGTTAAATTGGCTTAGAGCTCTCATTCTGAGAGCGGTGAGGAGTTTTAATTATTCTCCAGCTCAGAGAATAAATATCATGAGCCAGACTTACATCTTATGAGATTCTTCATGAGACGTAATATTTCAAGAGATTAAACCCAACCACTTTCTAAAATTGTGGTCAGTTTTGTAATTATTTAAAAAAATAATAATATGGGGAGAAAGTGTAGCTCAGTGGTAGAACACATGCTTAGCGTGCACAAGGTCCTGGGTTCAACCCCCAGTATTTCCATTAAAATAAGTAAGTAAATAAATAAACCTAATTACTTCTCCCCAAAACAAAAACAAAAATAAATAAAATAAAATATTAAAAAGTATATTAATTAAAGAAGAAGAATAATTCATATGTTAGAAATATCTTCTGCAGGATCAGAAAAGCTGATTGGCGTTAAGGGTGATTATTTTTTGGATCCTAATAAGTCATGGTTATGACAGGACTCAATAGGAAAGATAAAAGCATAGAAGAAATGTTGAGTTACTCATTCTTTCAATGAATACTTACTGTGTATTTACAATGGGGCAGTAACGTCTAGGAAAGCAACAGGGAACAAAATAAAGAACCTGCCATTTTGGTGCTTACAGTCCAGAAGGAAAGATAATCAATAAGCAAAAAATGTGAATGTATAGTATATCCTGTAGTGATAAATGCTATGACTATAATTAGTACTTTCTTTTTTTATGAGAGACACAATCTTAGATAAGGTGATCGAGAACAAGAGCCAACAATTAACTGAACAGAGATCAAAGAGCAATGAATGTCTGTGAAAGAAGAGGATTCCTGGGAGTGGCTACAGCATATGCAAAGGCCCTGTGGCAGTGGCCTGTTCAGTTCACCTGGGGAAGAGCAGGGAGACACATGTGGCTAGAATAGAACAAGTAGAGACAAAGGGAGTAGAATATGTTACAAATGACCAAAGTAGACATTGTTGCCAATTGCTGACAAGTCTTCTGGTATTTCCTTATGATTTTCTTTTCAACTAGCTGGCTCCACTCAATAAACCTTTCATACAAAATATAAAGACATGCTGTTCCCTACACTAGCATTTAAAAAATATCTGCACTTTCAAAGGCAAGTGCATGACACTCAGAGCCCACAGGTCAGAGAGAGAGCCGAAGGGCAGTTGTGAGGGGCGTATGTGTTTGTGTGGACTGGGGAGTCTATGATTCCTTTTTCCAAATATCGATAAGAAGAATTTATTTTTGCTGAGTGGTCCACTTTATTCTAAGGCCCTTTTGTTTCAAGAAACAGCCCGTTGGAAAAGTTTTTCCTATCGTGGGATCTCATTCACCTGATCTAACGCAAGCTCTGCATTGACTCCCACTAAAATCAAAGCTGTAAACGGAGAGATTTACAAACTGCTTGCAGTTCATCTTGCCGTGTCAGGCTTCTGCACAGACCTTTATTTGTGTTTTTGCCAAAGAGAAAATACATCAACTTTAGTTATGGCACATGGAATTTAATAATTCCTTTTAGTTCATGTTGCAAATCAGCTCTGAAAAATTCCTGCACTTATGTATTTTACTGTAAACTGCAGATATTTTTTAAACGCTAATGTATGAAAAAGCATTTCTTTACATTTTCATTAAAGATTGGTTGAAGGGAGCCAGCCAGTTGAAAAGGAAATCGTAACGGAATACCAGAAGCCTTTGCAGCAATTTGCAACAATATCGACTTTGATCATTTATAAATCTTGAATTAACCAAAGGAAATTTGGCCTAACAAGCTCACTGTAGAACATTGTTCAACACTTTTTATTGATTCTACTAGTAAACATTAATAGACAAAAAAAAAGTTCTCTGTATTTTTTTCTTACTAAAATGTGTTAGTCAATCATCTGTAGTAGGAATAAAACTAACCAATTCCATCAACTTGTATATCTGAGAATATGATTTTTAACACATACGATGTATTAGATAAGAACTATGGATTGACAGTCTCTATGACGAATGTGAAAACGTCAAATCGGTGATTCTGGGATGTTTCTGATTTGATTTGCGGTTCAGCCATGGTGAAGTCTATTTGCTCCATCCGATCTGTTCTCCCCTGATATCCTGCGTCGGACCTTATGAAGATGAAGATCTCATCACTGTTCATGGATGTTAGTGTCTTACCATCTAAGCTGCTTGGAAATCGGTGCCAGCCGTCTCGCTCACCTTAGCGTGTTTCAGCCGGAATGCCTGATCTCTCTGCATCCTGTACTGGTCAGTCTCTGCCATCGCTTCCTCCTTGGCCTGTATGAGAAAGCATTTCTTTACATTTTCATTAAAGACTGGTTGAAGGGAGCCATCCAGTTGAAAAGGAAATCGTAACGGAATACCAGAAGCCTTTGCAGCAATTTGCAACAATACCGACTTTGATCATTTTGGCTTGGCTTTTCCTGAAAATTAACAGTGGCACAGAAAGGACAGATTTCTCTTCAGCATACAGAATTTCAAACTTGCTTTTTAGAAATACAGGTGAGGTCTACATGATTTTCAGATGCTCCACCCCCCCCCCGCCTCAAATGATGCCCTTTGTTTAGAAACAAGCAATACTGAAAAATTCCTTGTTTTTTCAACTGGATTCTTTCGAACACGGAAATGACAACTTTCTTTTACACTCACATGTTTAAATGAAATATCTTCCCGTTTACTATCACAGGAGTAACAGCCAGAGAGCAGATCTGAGCTGTCACTTACTCAGAAAGACATTATTTGGTCAGATCTGCTGTCCTGATTTGCTGCCAGGAATCCTTCAGTCCACACCAAATGAATCTGTTTAACGCTGGCAGACCTCCAACCGGCACTACAAACATGTGGCTCAGACTCTCTCAAACCAACTTACAGTTTTTTAAAGCATTTTATTGGGGTGTTTTCCTTACCGTGTGTTGACTCTAGAATGTCTGATTAAGCCCCAAAGCACATCAAAGTAGACATTTTTTGTAGTCGCTTTCTCTGAGGGGGACTTGAAAGTGGTTGTAAAACCAACGGTTTTAATGGTTAGGAGATTTAGTTAAGTAGCTCTCTTTTCTTTTATTAAGAGCAAAGGTGTAAGCCTTAAGCCAGCAGATAGCACGGTAGATGAAAGTTTCAGAAAAATGTGAAAAACTGTGGAGATCATTAGGTAAGCACATGACTTTTTTGACAACCAGAGGAAGTATTGGGGGGGAGTGACAGAGTCATGTTAATCACTGCTCAGCCCTTACCACCCACCACCTTCGGGGAAGCTAGGTACTAACGCTCTGTGATCATTAAAACTTTAAAAAATCTCTGAACTGTATTGAAACTAATTTTCTTCAGAATCTATTGTCTTTCTATTTTAGTTAAATGCTTTGATTCATTTGCCCGTTTAACATCATTTTTTTCTTCTGGTAAGATCTCTTAAGCTTTGGTTTATAATTTTTGTCAATGGTTTGTTGCACTATGTAGACTTGGAACTAAATGTGTTTTCATTAAGTAGCATGAAAGAAAATCTTAACATAAACCTTATCTGTCATCTAGATACACAGGTTTACATGGCTTTGTTTTTGTGTAACTTTGTTGCATTTGAGCAGAGATGAGTCCTAAATTTCTCTTCCTGCTGCACAGAAGTTGCTTTGCGAGTCGCTGTATATGTGTGGACAAGAGACAGTCACTGTGTTACACACTGAAATGTGTCTCTTTTAGTACCTCTTACCCTTGAGCGGGACTGAGCAGACGTCATTCACAACGCATATTTAGCTCTGTCTTAATTGTCCTTAGAATCCAAGGTCTAGTGAAAATGAGTGTTCTTCCAATGACTGAGCCTTAATGGAACGTTACCAGTAATGCTTTCCTTTTTCCTCCTCAATTCATGCTCGTTACCATCTTGTATGTACACTTTTCTTCCTCTCTGGAGCTCTGACCACTTCCTGGCAACCACACACACGCCGTTCACAGGACAAACAAGCGAAATGTTGGCAAGGAAAACCATTCCTAGCCCCCAGCTCACTTTCTTATCCCTGCTTGTCACTAACATGAGGACAAAAATATATGTAAGAGGTGAGAAGATTTCTTAGTCGTAACGTGCTGTGGGTTACGTAACGAGTGGTCGGACACTATCTGATTGAGCAAAAAACCCCATAAAACATCATTACTTTCCATCTTAATTGCATATTGTGTAAAAGTACTTGTTTCCAAGTTGCAACTCGAGCACATTAAAAAAAACAACAACAACTAATAATAGGAAAAGCGCTGCGTGCCCGGCCCCTGCGCAGAAGCTGGCACCCCTCTTCGGAGGCTGCGTGAGCTCCGAGTGCGCCTGCTTCCCCGGTGTGGCGCCGGTCACCTGCTGGTTCTCATTCAGTTAAACAGGGGAGCCACGGGGACCTCGGGCGGCCCGCGGCGGGGAGGCGCAGGGCACCAGCCAGCCCGCATGGCCTGACCGCTGCTGGCTTCTGCGTCTGCGTGGGAACCTTCCAGATTTTACAATTGCACCTCTTCCTTCTTTAAGCATTAAAAGCGTGGCTGCTGGGAACCCAAATGAGATCACGTTCCTATTTCTCAATACTTTCTCTCTCAAACACAGGGGTGACCTTTTGGGACAGTCCAGATTTTAAATAGAACAGTCACATATTGGTCCCCAATTTCCTATAAGGTCACACGAGGCCAAATGTCCTGATTTTTGGTTTAGAAAATGAGACAACTCGTGCGTCATGATTTTATTACTTTAGAAAGTTTTTTGTTTGTTTGTTTTTTTAGCGGAGGTACTGGGGACTGAAGGCAGGACCTCGTGCAAGCTAAGCGCGCTCTCTACCACTGAGCTACACCCCCCCACCCCGTGCTCCCTCATCGTGATTAAAAATACTCCCGAGCAGGTGCTGCCGAGTGGTGTGGGAAAGGCTGGCTTCCCTTTATCCATCCATTATTCATTCAGTATTTATTGAGTACTTGCTGCATATTACACAGAGGGCCAGAACCAAACGTGCGATACGGTTTTTGCTTCTAGCTGACATGCATGCAGTGTATTTTGGAAATACGTACATGCTGCTCCAGCGTCCATGAGGAGAATTAGAAAATGCATAAGATTGTCAAGAAGGCACAAAACCAACTATGAAGACAATGGAATGTAAGTCTTGGTTCAGTGTGTTTTGTGACAGCGAAAAACTACATTTATGGAAACCTCTCCTACTAAAATTCTTGAGAATCGGTGCTTGCCCGCACCCCGGTGGTCATGTCATGTCTTGTGGTAGCAGAGTTAGTAAAGAAGACGAACAAACAGACCCACCTGTGCAGGGTGGGGGCTCAGAGGAGCCGCCAGGGGGGATCAGGGAAGGTGTCTGAGGAGAAAACTGTTACACTGAAGAGACTCATTAGCCAGGACAGACATGGGAGTGGACAGTGTATTTTGGCATCAGAAAAAAAAAAAATGGCAAGACGACCCCTTCTGTTTCTGGGAACTCTTTATAAATAGTTCCCCTTTAAATCATTCGCTTTTAGACGTTCGGTCTGCTACACCCTGCTTTCAACGAGCCGTTGCTGAGATACATTCCATAGGGTGTTCTGTGGGAGGAAAAGTAGGAAAGGAAGGTGTTTGGACTGATTTCCAGGTGATTGTGGGGAAAGGATTAAAAAATCAATTTAGGGCAGGTTAGAACTGAGCTCTGTTCCCGGGGCTGGGGGAGTGGGCAGGGCTGTGCGCCGGGTTCCGCTCGGCTTCTTGGTGAGAAAAAGCCGAGGGGCTGAGGGCCCCAAGATGCTTATGAGCACCGCTCCATGCTGGGATTGCTAACCTGCTTCTGGATCCCTTTTCTGAAGGGAAGAGAGGCTTCATTGATCGTTTCAGAAAGAAATCAGAACTGTACCCTGGGCACCACTACAGTAAAACGTTAGAAGCTTTGTAACCTCGAGCAAGGTAGTTTCCGAACCTGAGCTTTCTCACCTGTAAAACAGATTTAATGCTGTACTGCAGAGTCATCGGAAGGATTTGCAACACATACATAGTGCTTGATGAAGAATGTTCAACAATTTCCAATCATTATTAGGAAAGAAAGACCGATTCCCGGGGCCGTTTGCTAAGAAGGAAGGCAGTGAGGAAGGCGGGGGTTGAGGAGAGAGCTCCGGGCTGTCACCCAAAAAAGCCCCTGCGGGCTTCCCTGAGGTCACCCACAGGGAGATGCCCAGAGGGCAACCGGACGGGCAAGTCTGGAATCCAGGAGAAAGGTGTGAAACGGAGACGAGCTCTGCTTTGGCGTCATCCGGGTCTGGCGTGCTCGAGGCGGCGCAGTGGGTTTGGGACAAAGTCAAGGGGCGTGCACAGAATGAGCAGGAAAGAGGGCTAAGGTCTCAGCCGAGGCGGGGGCGGGGGGCGCCGACGTTGGGAGGATGAGAACAGGAAGAACAGCGTCAGGAAAAGCCGAGAGCAGTCACCGGAGTCGGAGGGGAACCAGAATAGAGAACAGCCCAGAGAGGAGGTGGCCGACAGATGCTACACGGACTGGATGTGAACGGGCCGTCCTCAGTCAGCCATCATTCCTGGGGGTCTGCCTCGTCGCACACTCTTCTAGGTCCCGATACAGCAGTGAAAACCACAGGCAGACACACTTTCTGCTCTCGTGGCGTCCCGACTGTCGCAGGGAGAGGTAGAAATGGAAAACTGACAGGAGGACACAGTGCAACGGGGTGATGAGTCCTGGGCGGAGGAATAAAGGAGCCATCGGGACAGAGAGGCGGCTGGAAGCTAACTGAGATCAGGCAAGCCTCTCAGAGGATGTGCCATGCGAGCAGAGACCCCAAGGGGTAAGACAGCTAGCCATGCAAACGCCTGACAGGGAAGGGCGTTCCAGGCAGACGGAACAGCAGGGCAAAGACCCTGAGGTCGAAGGGCATTTGACACGCTCAAGGAACAGTAAAAACATCATCATGGCTGGGTCAAAGGTCAAAGAGCAGAATGGTTGAATGTCAGGAGGACTATCACAGAGGTGGCAGTAGGGCCAGGTCACAGAGCTCTCCTGGGGAGGGCGAGGATCTCGGTCCTTGAGACGCTAAATCCATGAAGGGTTTTTACCAATGGGTGGCATAATGTTCTTTATGATCTAAAAGGAGTTCTTTGGCTGGTGTGGCGAAAGAGACTGTAAGAGCAAGGAAGATGCAGGGAGAGTGGTTTGAAATCTACTGCACTAGTTCAGACAAATGTTAGTGATGCCTGGCAGTGGTGAAGTGGCCGTGCAGTTGCTGCAAAGTGACACAGACGTTGAAGGCAGAGTTGATGGAGAAGCAGGAGAGACAGACAAATCAATGACGGCTCCGACATTTTATTTTGGTGGGGGGGTCAAGAATGCAGTTTGAGACACCCGTTAAATATCTGGTGGGGATGGTGAGAAAGCGGATGTTAATGTGAATTTGAAGATCAGGGAAGCAAGTCAGGCTGGAAATACTGAAGTTTGGGGAACATCAGCCTAGAGCCGGGATTTGAAGTCGTAGGATTAGGTGTGATCACCTGGGAAGTGTCTGTGGATGCAGGACAGAACAAGTCCAAGTGGGGGCTGGACTCTGGAGGGAGGGGGGGAGGTAGAGGAAGGCCGAGCAGGAGGGCGGGGTCACGCAGGCCAGTGAAGGGAGAGCTTCAAAGATGAGAGACGGACCCCGTTGTGACAGAGAAAGCTGATTCACCGGGGTTAGCAACACTGCTGGTCTTCGCAAGAGAAGCTTTGGTGGAGTTGGAGGGACTGAAGCCTGATTAGAGTGGGTTTCGGAGAGAATGGAATTTAAAAATGCAGACACAGGGAATCTAGGCAACTTCTTTGAGAAGTTTTCAGTTACAAAAACAGACAAAGAAGATAAGGACTCAAGATGGTCAAGTGGGTTTGTCAAGAGGATGTTGTGGGTTGAACTGTGTCCTTCAAGGTGTGTTTATATCGTAATGGACGTGACCTTACTTGGAAATAGGGTCTTGGGAGATGTCGTCAAGTTAGGACGAGGTCCTACTAGATTAAGATGGGTCCTACATCTGATAACTGGTGTCCTTATAAAGAGAGGGAGCTTTGGACACAGAGACAGAGCAGCACAGAGCAGACATGCGGGGAGGAGGCCATGTGATGGCAGGGGCAGAGACTTGAATGATGCAGCTCTAAGCCAAGGAAAGCCAAGGGCTGCCGGCCATCAGAAGCTGGGAGAGAGACGTGGACACATCCTTCCTCAGTTCCTTCTGGAGGAAGGAACCACCAGCTCGTGTTTGGACTTCTGGCTCCCAGAACTGGAGGCTAATATACGCCTGTGGTTGGGAGCCATCCTGTTTGTGGTGATTTGTTTAGCAGCCCTAGGAAGCTAACACAGTGGCTCAGAGACACAGACACACAAGGTCAGTTGAGCACCAGATGCAAAGTCACGTGCTTGAGTGTGGTACTAGGAGTATGTTTCCAAATGAACGCACCGCCTGAAAAAAAAAAATGCACAGACAGAGCAGAGGCCACCTTGATGTGGTCTGAACACAGAGGGCACTCTGGGAATGTTTGAAGATTTCTATGTGTTACTAATTGCACATTTTTACTCTGCTCTACCAAATAGAAGAAGAAAAGGCCTTCTTGGCTTTGGGGGTGGTTAATATGATGACACAAACAACCTCATTCAAAGAGCGTTCTTATTCTGCTCGCCCTACAAACTTCGGAACAGTGGTCCGTTACCAGGAAACAAAGGAGCCACCTCTCTTTTGGCACCTTGAGTGTTCCCATGCTTCTCTGCTGAACCACTTCTCTCCTTTCATACCTCTGACTTCTTTGTGAATCCTTTGTTATTCCTTTTTCTTGTACATCCTTATTAAAAAAATAAAACTTAAGTAGTTTTGTGTAGATCCTGGATTGAATATAACCAAACATCATTAATAAATGAAAATGTCCTGTGGTTATTATTTTAATATGACCCACTCGAAGAAATGAAAGGCCAGCGTAGCCATGAATACCCATTAGTCTGTGGACTGTAAGAAGAAGGAAGGATTTACAGGCCTACAAAACATACAGAGCAGGGTCGTGAATTTCTCCTATAACAATTTTCATTTTATTCGTTTATTAGAAGTTATGTCTTCACGAATCAAAACACTCCCTGGCACAGTGAAGCGTTTATTAAACCAAGGTGCTTGGTGAAATAATTTGGAATCTCTGTATATTTGGAAATAAATCAGCAATTCAAATTGTGATTAAAAAAATCAGCGGGAGGCCTCCTCGAGACCCACAGAAGTGAACATGCCTCACTGTGTTTGCTGATGAGTTATCCAGGGAGAAAGCAGAACTATTTCAAGGCTTTAGTTTGCACTGGAGTACAACTCAATGCACAGAAATATTTAAATTATTTTACTTGTTTGTTTTATTTGCACTGCAGTAGAATTCAGTAGAAGGTCGTGCTGGATTCATCAGAGGGGGCCCTGCGATTGCCCTGGACCCGGCACAGAACCCTTTTCACTAAGCGGTGGAGGAATTTTCCCAGCTGACACGGGTGCAGCCCCTGCTGGGGACCAAGGCGTGTTTTAAGTCCTTGATAAGCGTTAGCTCAGCTAACCGTGAGGACGACTCCCTGAGGGCGACGGGGCCACCTCTGCCGTGAGGCTCAGGAGGGGAAAGACCAGGGGGCTCAGGGATAGCCGGCCCCACGTCGCCCGGCCAGTCGGAGGCGAAAGCTGGGCTTGTAGCCGGAGCCGCCGCTTGCTCCTGGGGGCGAGGGGGGTCTGCGCTGTCTGGGTCGGACACCCCAGGGTCGCGACCCTCGCTTTTATTAAGACTGCCCAGAGCTTTCAGAACCTCTTTCTTATACCTGCTTGTTCAGTGTTTCTCATGCCCAGATTTGAACATTTATGTTTACCGCATCTTTTGATCTGTATCCCATAATGCAAATTGTAATTTTGGGTTAAACACAAACGTTATTTACCGCAGCTGCCAGAGTAGACAGGTGGAGTGTTAATTTGTGGGGGAGGCCACGGTGCACATTTGGAAATATGTCAGGAATATGGATTCTTTATGTGACGTGGAGCAATTCAAATGACAGCATTAGGGCCGAATGGTAGAGCCTCCCAGGTTTGCAGTGGGTGTAAATGAAATAGACACTGTGCTCTTAAAAGGTGTAACTTAAAGTAAAAAAAAAAAAATCACGTGTTTCAGAGAAGACATGGATGAGGGGGCCCTGACTTCCTATTCTAATTCTGATCAAAGATGCAGGTAATTTCCCCAAAGCTGGAGCTCCAGGGCAGGTCCGATGCTCTGTTGTGAAAGTGTAACTTGCGTCGACCAATACACTCACTTTTATGTTTTGAAGGATGCACAATTTTAAGCAAAAGGTGTTAACTTCAAGTGAGATAAATTAAAATAATGCCATAGCAAGAGGTAAACAAAAATAATAAAAAATAATGCCAACCTACTGCAATTCCACCTAAATTCAAACAGTTTTTACACATAAAAATTTGGGTGAGTGTCTTAACTAGTAAATACCATTCAATCCACACTCAGTGAATAGAGGCGAACGTCTGAGTTCTTTCACTCATTTTACTAGAAGCAGCACTGGTCTCCTCACTGGAAGAAAAGTTGAGCCCCCCCCACCCCCAACAGAAAACAGAAAAGTTGGCCGAGAACTTACAGCCACTGTAAAAAAGGATGAAACGAGACTTGTTTCTGGTTTCCTACTCCAGTCTTCTGTTGCTTTTACCTACAGTCACATACAAGTATACATACTGTATAAATTAAAAAGAAGACTAACTCATTAGTTTTTACTCTACCACCTTAGGTACCATTTTTCTGATCCTTAAAGCATTTTGGTCACACATATTAAATATTACATATAATATTTTATTCTTCTGTATATTTCTGTTTTCTTTTTTAAAAAAAGCAAAGATGGAAGCTCAGAGATGCTCAGTAACTTAAACAAAGAAATAAAAGGAAAAAGCCGGTGCTCTTTCTACTCTGCTGCCTCACATCCCAGCTTTGCGAGTCTGTTGGATATCTGCACTTCCGTACCACGCCCCCCCAACAGCAAACCAGCCTGCCAGTCCCACCTCTCTGCAGCTGGAGTCTTGAGAGCAGGGACCTGTGATTGCATTTCCACGGCTCTAACAGCCTTCAGGAGAGCCCCTAACACCCTTGTCTGTGTCCCGAAAGGCAAAGCATTTACACACGTACAGGACTGTGGAGTAACTTCCCTGGGATCTGAGGCCGTCCTCCTGAATGGAATATGTTCATAGTTTTGCAACATCATATGTACATACTAGCACTATGTTAACCTTGTGTTTTTCTAAAATGATTAACATGTGACTTACTATTTTTTCTCTCTCTGTCTTTCTCTCCCTCCCTCCATTTCTCCCTTTTTAAAATATATTTCACAGGGGGAAGGGTCTAGTTCAGC